GAACTGAATGATAATCTAAGTAACACCACCTAACCAAATATTTTCACTCTAATTTTATAAAAATTTTTACAAATATTTCTACAAAAATATTTGTAAATTTCTTCAATGATTGTCGATTGAAAAATAGCAGAATGAAATTTTACAATGAAATTTTACGATAAAACTAATTTTTATTCATCCAAAATAATTTCCATTTGAAAAATGAATGGAACCTAATCACAAAAATAATTTGTTGAAGTTTAAGTAAGTAAGTGGCTGAAGGTCATCGTTTACTGGCTCAGGAGAATGATTAGAAATTTTTTGAGCGTGTCATGTCATTAGGCGAAAGAAATATGGATGAGTGGGCAGCACTTCACTATGCGATGGTCGCCAGGACCACTCCATTTTTTTTAATGATACGTTTCCTGCCTCCTGTCCAGAGCAATAGTCGGACCGTTCCTTCTCAATCCCTACGTGAATTACGGCTATCTTACCTCATTCGCTGGTGTTTGATCACCAAGTTAGCCGAAAAACCCTTTGTTGAAATAAAATTTCTTTTTAAAAAATGATTAATTTAAGGATATTTTTATAAGAATTACTAGGTTAATTAGATGAAAATGCAAACGCAAAGCAAATATCTGAAAATTCATTTGATAAGTCGGAAAAAAAATTAAAAATGTAATTAGTGGTAATTTGGATAAATCCATAAAATATATTGAATAAGAAGAATAAATAATACATCAGTTAATGAAGAAATATCACATCAATTTCACTTTAAAAAATTGACAGCTAAAAATGACGAGCGAGATTCGTTCATTTATCAAGAACTGCTCCTTCTTTCAACAGCATTCACCACTTTTAGTGGCGGCATGCCACTCGACTGAGAGCAACTCGCTGAGGAGTCACCTGTGGACAGACATAAAGAAGCACCGATAGCAAATTCACGTCATTAACAGAATTTTAGCCGTTAGGAATCAAAGGAAGATTCAACAAAAATGCGGTACTCTTAGTAAAACATGTTTCATTCTAAGTGAAGCAGTGACAACGTGCGGACTGCGAATTATCATCGCTTCAGTCCTATTTATCTGCAATTTATTAGAAAAAAAAGGATAAGCAATCATAATTATCGGAACTTTAAGAAATGAAATGAATGATGGTGATCAGTGATCAGAAATGGTTTTCCAAAAAAGCGTTCATCAATCAAAAATGCTTTTACAAATTCAAAATGGTCTAAAAATTTCAGAAATTTAGTTTTAAGCACTTTTTTAAAAATAATCCTCAACGATTTAAAAAAAAAATAGATTAATTTAGATTCAGCAAATAGCTGTTTAATTCATTGAAATTTGTCACTCACCAACAGTTCATCCGAATTTCATCTTTAATTTCAGGTTCACTTATTTTTTATTTTACAAAATTTGAATCAATCGTAATTCGTATTTCATTTAATAACAGGTTTTCGAGGGGCGAATATATAATTTTTCGGATAACCCCCTCCCCCACTCCCCCATCACTCTATCTTTTCAGCGAATAATTAAGTGATAATAAATTTTATAAAAAAAAATTTAGCAAATAACCTACGGAAAAACGATAACAAAGAATAAAAGAATTCAAAGTTTATACAAAGAAAGATAAACAATAATTTATATAATAAAATTATTTATAAAAACAAAAGAGAGGAGAGGGGAAATGGAAGATAGAATGACGAGGGAGTGGGGGGAGGGAGTTATCCGAAAGATTAAACATTCGCCCCTCGAAAATAGAAAAAAAGTTATTATTGCAAGCCTATTATGGCCTTCGGGCTAAAAAATTAAAATCAAATCAACTCAAATAGAAATCTTCCCATTTGCCATTTACCAACGTTTAAGCAGCTTTTCTTCAATCTGATAATTCTTTTTTTTGAGATAAATCTTAAATATTTCTTAATTGATAATCTTTTGATAAAATTTGCATAAATTTGACGGAGGAAAAAACGATAAAAAGAAAGAAAGCAATGCTTAAAAATGACAGAAAATAAATCTCTAAAAAAAAACTTGTTCAAACTAGTTCAACGAATAATAATAATAATAATAGTAATAGGTCGGACGATCGACGAAAACCGGTTTCGGCACTTTGGAAAAAAAAAGCCATTTACCAGCGATTCATAAAACAACATATGACGCCTTCCGTTTACCTTCCTTTTGCTTTTTTTCTCCTTCAAATGGGGAGAATTTCGCTTTATTTTCATTTTTTTGGTGCTTAGAACAATGGGTATAAAGATTTTTAGATTGAGATTTGAGACATTTATCAGAAGTTATTACCAGCTGAAATGATTGTATCTCATTTGATTGATTTAAAAACAATGCTAATTTTGGCGAAATCGGCATGTTTGACGATCAACGATTGCTTGAGAGAAAGGTCAAGCGGCCCATTTCGATTTCGAGATATCACTAAGATAATACGCATTCCATTGCTTCATGAGCCCTCACTAATCCTGCCATTAAAGTGAAATACATCGTTATCATATCGCCAAGTGATTATTATTTATCTAAAAATTAGTTGAATCCGGCCAAACCAGAAATAGAAAGTGCTGTGAGAAGAAATATAGAAAACTGCTGTTCTGCTCTGAGCACCATCTATCTCAGCAATCACATTTGTTTTCCGGCAAAAATCTATTACATCAAGCGTATAGCAAAAGAGATTTATCGATGCATCTATCATTAAAATTATTTAAAGTAATTCATTATCAGTTAAAAACTGGCAAAAGAACGAATAATGAATATAAGAAATATAATAAAAAAACAATTTAAATATTTTAATGATAACGGAGGCAGAACAGGCGAGGATCTCAGATTATCATCTCGAGTATCAAGATTCGGATCAATAGAAGCAAATTTTGATGCTGCATGTCGGAGACTCGCACCCTATACTTTTATATTCAGGTGGCCCTCTGGAAAAACATTGCCCAGCACTAATAACCAATGCAGCGAACTTAACCAGATTTCCTCACCATTTCCTTCTTTATTTTGATGAATAAAAAATAATATTTATCGATAATTAATGATCAATAAAAGGAAAGATTTTTATAAGGAAGAAGGGAAATTTAATAGCTTTTTTAAAAGCGTATACATTATTTAATCTCTTGTTTAGCACAACGATTTGCAATAATAATAATTTCCTCAATGATAACAAATATTAATTTTGAATTTTGATAGCAAGTATTAAGTATTAATATTATATTGATTAATATTACTATTAATATTAATATTAATTAATATACTTTATTTTATCGATGAAATGAGATATATTTGCATATAAAAAATAATTTAAGACTGTAAATATATTATATACATTAGAAATTTCAGCGAATAAAAAGAACCACACTTATCACTTTTATCATTATCACATTAATAGATGAATAAAACAAATTCATTCTTTTTTCCTAAATTTCAATGAATATTAATGAAAATGAGAATGTAACTGGAAATTTAATAGAATCTTAAACCGGTCTATTCTCGCTTTTTTTCCCTAGAACTGGTTATTACGAAATGTGGAAGAACATATTGAGTCATGTTGCTTTGACAGATGACGAGTTACACTGTTTCGATTCCCGTTCTTTGCCATGATCATTATATGTGAAATTAACAGTGAAATCCGGACAGATAATGGAGAACCACTCGTAGCCTATAAGCAACCCTGTGGCGAATCATCATTAGTCTGTGCAGCCAATTGAAATAGAAATGGTTCATAGTTAAAAGGTATTAAAAGATAAATTCTAAAATGATGCGCCTTCGCAAACAAAGATAATACCGTGAGCGAAACCAGCTTTGAACCTTTCCGTAATTCATAGTGAATCGGTTGAATTCACATTAATTTTTCAGAAACCAACTTATATGATAATTATGTCTTACAAAGTATACATTTTATGCGCATAATTTGTCAAAATTTTTTACGCGTTATGAAAAAAATAAGTAATTGTGAAAGGCGAGAAAAGACAACTGGTGGGGCTGATCAGTTGATCGAAGAGAAAACGATTACATTAAACGATTGATTTCACTCACGATTATCACCTATGTAATAACCAGATTTCACTAAACGATTATCACCTCCGTTGTTATCATTTATGTTACTACATTAAAACGACAATCTAATTTCGAGCATAAATTAATATTAGAGAATAATAATTTGAACTTGGACCAAAATAATTCTTGCAAAAATGATAAGACGAAAGCCTTCTTAATTTTTTTCAAAAAAGCTTTAGATCGATTGCAATTCAATAAGAATTTCTATTATTAAAAAAAAATTCTATCTCAAATTGAACAAAAAAAAAGAGAAAAAAGCGTAAGAACTGAAAATTTTCCTCCTACAAAATTATAAGAGACGATTGATCTATTTAAAAATAATTAAATTTCAGATGAAAAAAAATTACACTTGCGATCACAACAGAATCTGGAACATTTAATTCTGAAAACAAACCGAAAAATTCTGCGAAACTGTGAAAAATATTATGCCAGATAATTAAAAAGTAGTCATACTTTACTTATTTTTTAATATTCCGTTTTTCATAGAACGTAAATATAAGAAATTCTCAGAAATAAATCTTTTTTTATTTATCCAGAATTTTATAGCTATCTTTATTTTATATCTTTTTTATAGCTTAAAAATAATGTCCGTTTCGATTTTTCCCTCATTATACTGGACTGTTGTTATTAGCTAAATAATGTAATAAAATTTTGAAACAAGTTTGAGCGATATCTAAATCGATCCAATTTAATTATTAGCTGGATAATGCGACTACAGAAAAACAGAAAAACAAAGAAGTTCGATTATAAATTTTCATTCGCTTCCATAAACATAAGGAATGAAGACGTTGAATGATGATAATGATACAGAAAAAGCATTGAATTAAATTTTATTCCTTTCCTATGAACAAATAAAACAGGAAAAAATCTCTGTTAATCTGCAAATAGAAAATTTTGAAAAAAGAAATATAGGAAAAACAATATAAATAATGATGATTTTATTTACAATACTTGAACAATTCATTATGTTCTTCTAGAACGTCTTGAATCAAAGCCACCGGGTGATAAAGAAGAGGGAAAATTAGATTTCCGCTTTCGTATCTATAATATTCAACAAAAAAATAAAAGACAGAGAATCAATGGAAGTAGAAAAACAAGCAATACAGTAAAATGGCTAACCGTTTGTGGCAATGACGATGATAATTCTATCATATCCGTAATCGTACGACTTGAAGATGGAACTCCTGACATATCGGTTGATTCACGATAGCCAGTTTCACCAATGGTTGCAACTCGCATACGTGGTTCTATATTAAATGTCTAAAAAAATAAACAGAATAAACCAAAGCCTATGATCCTATAACAAATCCTTATGCTCTTCCAATCTCTCTTTGCATATTTATGCCTGTAATATAGCCAATATAAATTTTAACTTGAGGCCAAATATGAACCAATTTATTAAATAAAACAATCATGGTTCCACAAACCTTGCCGGTTAACGTGTTATAGCGAGTACGAAGTGATTCTAATTCATATTCAGCTGTTTGTAACATGTGCTTTAATTCTTGCAGGAGAACAACACTTGAACGTAATTCATTGAATCCAGTCACGATATCTTCCGCTCCAGATGGCAATAATTCTAAAATATTATTGAACAAGAAAAGAATTTATTAATGATACCAATTCATGATTTAAAAATCGTTGGAATGACCGGTAAATCCGAATTTTAAATTATCGATTTTAAAAAAATTGAACAAAATTTTAAAATAAAGGAAAATAGGGGTACCTAATTTCAGTTTATCAATAACTGTTTCAATATTTTTTAATTTTTTCTGACCAATGTTTGTAGGCAATTTCATTTCTTGACTACGTAAATGAGCGCCAGATGAACGGAATTCAGGAAACCGCAGTAAAGAATGTTCCTGGTAATAGAATTTTAAATTTTTTTCCGATTTTATTTTAAAAGTAATTTTTGCGGATGAAAAACATCGAAAAATATGACCTCTGAATTTAACAAGTGGAAATAAAAAAAAATAACATTTAAAACCACTAACAGCTATAAAATTTCCATTACTGGGTTGACCAGCACTGACCGACGAAACTTTAGGCCTAAAGTTCGTTTTCTTTTTCAAAATTGCAGCTGAAGAATGAACAGACGAACTGAAAACGACGTTGAATGATACTTATATATTATAGTTATATATTATAGTATTAATTTTCGAAATAAAAATGGCATTACTTATTCGCTGGAGAAGCTGAAACCCTTTCACCAGCAGTTATCAATTTCTGAAGATCCTGCGCTTTCCTTTCACGTTCCCTACGTCTTACTTCAATTTTCTTTAGTTCCGCTAACAGCATTTCTTCTTCTTCAATCTCAATCCAACATAAATGAAAAAATAATTTAATATAATAGCAATAACAATTTTGATATTGTAATAATTGATACAAATATTTAATTTATATTAAGTGAAAATAATAACCTCAGCGTCAGTACGATTCCACAATTTGATTAACTGCTCTTTTCTTCTTTTTTCATGCTCAGCATCATAGCTCAACAATTCAGTCATCTCACCTTTAGCAACATTCAAATCATTAACTGCATTATAGAATCGCTCTCTCATCTCTTCCATAGTCCGCTTCACTGAACCTTCCCATCGATCTACGATGACTACCCATCTAATAATATGAAACAGATGAAATAGCAAACAAATTTCTCTGAAGAATTGGAAGAAAAATTGCAACAGTTTAAATTGTCTAAAAATTGTGTTCATAAAATTTATTAAAAGAAATTCTGGTATTTTTGGTTTAAAAATTAAAAATTTAAAATAATGCTAAAGAATTTGAACGCGATAAGGTCGAATCTCGATTTAAATCTAAAATGTCCTCTAATCCAAATTCAAAAAAATTTAATAAAATTAAGACTTAAAAAACCTTAAATCAAATTGACGACATAAATCAAAAAGATGAATGGTGTCAGTTTTTGTCCATTTATTAGATATTAAGTATTTGTCGTATTCTTCGTCTGTGAAACATGGAATATTTATAACCTAAAATGCTCTTTTAAAATAACAAATATAATTCAACCATAGAAATAATTAGAAAAAGTGTTAATAAAACAGAAAATTTTCAACAATTTTTATTGGAATATTCTTTATAAAGCTCTGAAGTAATTACTTAATCAACAGCAATTTTATCAAAACTATTTCTAAAATATTCCACTATAAGATTCTCAAGACTTAATTCATATTTCAGACACAAATAAGACGTAAAACAAACTTTATTGAAACGAGCGAAAGGATAAATTTGTGCGGCTTCAATTCGATCACTTCTTTGCCAATGAAATAACTGTAATCCATCTTCCCTTGCAGCATTTTCAAAAGGATGCCAAAACCAAGGTCGAACACTCCGCATGCCAATCTAAAAAATGGCATTGAAACGAGCACAACTTGTGGCTAAATTGGAAATTCGCTAAAATTCGATTTAAAAAAAGAAATTCGCTAAATTGAATCGCAAAATAAATGACCGTATATCTTACAAGTACAGAGCAAAAAACGACTAACTCTGGCTTTTTGATTTCGATATCCACTATTCTTTGTTGTAGACGGCATTAACGAAGCAATATTCCTTTCCCTATCTAACAAATTAAATACTTCTCTATGCATGCCTTCAGGCCTTTTCAATTGATTTTCCACTTTCTTTTTCTGCAAAAAAATAAATATATCAGATTTTGTATTCCGTTTATAAAATGATGATTACAAGACATTATAAAGAAATAAACCTTTTTGTCAACATCGACAAGTCCACCACTAAACGACACAACGCTATCATCCTTTGTCAAACCAAGAATACCTTGTGCATCAGCAGAATTCATTTCATTCGCCTAAAACAGTTTTCATTCACATTTTGCCATTTGATGAAAGTAAAGCCGCCATTGTGTGTGAAATATGATTCGTTCGCGAGGACTCACCTTCACCTCCACCTTCAAATCACTCCCCAGCGAAAATCTATCCCCGGGCAGATTAGTAACCAGCAGACGCTGCAGGAAGAAAATCGCAGCAGAAATCAAAAACGCCTCCTTCGGAAAATGAATATTTCAGCGGCTGAAAAGGAAATAAAGGCAAATAGAGGACGGTAAAAACGAAAATTCCTAAAAGCCCAAAAATTTTCGACAACTCACGAAGACGATTTTTCAACATCATTTCTTATGCGCCTTCTTCGCTAAGAAACATGGTAATTCTTAATTTCCAAGGCTCAAATTTCAGCGCGATGTAGCAGAATTAAAACGAAAGATTTCTCAACGCTTCTCCCTCACAACTGTTCAGATTTAGTAAGAAACTGGCAAAAAATATTGACGAAAACGATGAACATTCAAATTCGACAGAAAGACTAATATCGTTTTAAGACCTGAGACGAAGAATTTAAATCCCTCCAACACCGCACCGCCCGTTGAGATTTGCGAAACCGCAAATAGTTATTTATATATGTTTTTTGACAACCAATACCTTCACCTGCTAATGGTTTTTCTGCAATATAAATTTAGTTCACATTTCGTCAAATTGATGTTTCTTCGATTTATTATTCCACTATACCATTGCTCACCAAAAGTGCACCAATCATCTGCCGATGCACGTCAATTTTTAACAAATGAACAAGGAACGCGCTACTTACAAAAAACAATACCCCATTCAACCACCGGTCTATCTTTTTTTTGATGTATTCACATTTAATCATTAGACTCGCTCTGCTGACTTGTCAGATTAGACCGGTATGGCAGAGTCCCTTGGCGATAGTACAGGTGAGTCGCCAGCACCACCCGAATTTTTGGACAGGTATGCTCCTTTGAAAAGCTCTCATCATTTAGAAAACCTTTGTTACAAATGTTTAAAATGTTTGAATCACTCATGCTGACTGAAAATAAATATCGAAACTCAGATTCTCTTGCTCCACATTTTTATGAAATAAGTTATATACAATTCTATTGAATCATTTTTTAACAATATCAAAATTAATAATTAATAATGAAACGCGAAAAAAGATTCATATGCAATTTCAAGAAATGTCTTAAAAGAAATTAATCAAATTTTAAAAAAATTTATATATGAATTTATATAAAAATTTCATTTCAATCATCAATTTATATTAACCAATAAAGGATAAACATAGGGAATAAGGTGAAGGTGAATCGGAAATTAAAACGTACTAACGTATTAAAGAAAACAAATCCAATCACTCATCAAAAACTGTTGGTATTGCCGAAAGGCAAATCTAAAATCTGCGATTAATTTATAATCAATTTTCATTAATACCAAATTCCTTCTTAATAAAGTTTTAAAAAAACAAAAGAGATTATTACAAAACAAAACAAAAAACTTTCATTATTCAATAAATCTTTTATAACTCATTTATCAAACAAGGAAAAATAAAAAAAAAAGAAAAATTGCAAAAAGTCAAATCTATAAAACAATAAAGATGTACGAGGTATCCAAACAGATATTTCAGTATATTCTTTCAGATTATCTAAGAAAATTATCAAAAAATAAGGTTAACCGATTGGTTGTTGCTTAGATTACCGCCAGGAAGACTCCGATTTTCGACAGGAATAAACCTATCATCATTACGCGATGCTGAGGACAGTTTTGTATTAACTGTTTCATTTTAAATGAATGCCAAATGCAACATAAAGCAAAATATATCGCCATATCAAAAGTTAGCGAGTCTAATTAGAAATGCTTAGAGCTTTCTTACACCTTTGAAAACCATTAAATACCTTAAATTAAAAACCCAGTCTTCAACCAAGTTATTAAATAATTTTTTAAATAGTTCTCCAATGATAAAATTTGCGATCAAAAGTCACCGAATAAATATGAAACATTTGACAATTCACTATAAAATAAATAAGAAAAGGCTTACCCTACTAGAAGAGGAAAATTGTCTCCATACTCCGCATTGTTTCTTCAAAATAATTTTTTTCTAGCATTCCTTTAGCACCTTTTTGACCTTTGGTGCACTATTTTGACTCAGATTGTATCAGGTAACAGGATATAAATGGTTCTACCGGATTATGGTAACACGGAAAAGTAATTTAATAGAATTTCAGATCTTTCCGGATCTTTTTCGCAAAATATTACCGATTTTGGACGATCGAATGGTTTCAAAACTGTTGATCAAAATTTCACCTGCGACGGATTTTTGATTTTTCGAGAGTTCTAGTGAGTTTTGAAAAAAGAATGTGATGTTTACTACAGCACGTATCAGGTACCAAAATGTGGTTACCTAAGCACAAGAAAAAAGGTGTTGCCAAAGGTGCAATTCTAAGGATACAGTATGTTTCGACAGAGCATCAAAGAGGTTTTAACATATATTTTGTGGATGTGAGGGTACAGATGTTAAGTCTGAGGAAATAACCAAAAACACATGCCTAAGATTAATATCAGTTATAATACTAATGGAAAAAACTGCAAAGTACATTGATGCCTGGTGGGGCATTTTGCAGTTTAAAAACTTTGAAAGAACGAGAAGAATCTACAGCTTTGGCTAAATCTCCATTGGCACAATTAGAAATTTTTGGAGCCAAAAGTTGACCTATCGGCACCATTCCGATCCCATGACTCTGCCAGAACCAACGATGTTCAACGCAAATTAAAGCAACAATACCAGACAACCACGACAATTTAGCTAACGAATTAGGATAAAATGAATCCCAAAAATCAATAACAGGAAGAATATAGAACTGTGTTTAACTGGGATTGGAACAAATGTTGACAAAATTAGGCAGATTCTGGAGGAAACAAATGAACTTTTTTCTGGACGGTTTCAAAGTAACATAGCTATTATTTTTAACATCATTAAGGTTTTAGAAGAGTTTTACAACCTCTTGAATTTGCCTATTTATATACACTAGATGAATCAAACAAGATAAAAATGGATAAAAAAGGAAGAAAACATTGGAGATCTATCAAGTCTCGTCCCCTGAACCGATTTCCGCTAATGCCGCTTTAATTCGTTCTTTCAGCTGGGGTTTGTATATGTTCATGTCCAAAGTTGGAAATAATTCTCCAATCTTGAAATAAAAAAGAAAACCATAATCATTATGGTAAAACGAAAAAATAATGACAAAAAGTAGACAATTTAATTACCCTGATACACATCTGCTTCATTGTACACTCAACAAGACTGACAGATTTTAATGTAGAATTGATCGCTTCATTCACTTCGTCATCAGTTGGGCCATCTTTTCCCCACTAAAATTGATTAATGACGACCGATAAAAATATATATATATATATAAAGAATAAATAAAATAAAAATAAATGTAAAGAAATAAAAATAAATTAATCATTATAAAATAAATATAAAGAAATATATGGAATTCTTCTTTAAAATTCTTTGAAAATAGAGGCATTTTGAGATAAATAAACGTATTTCATTTGAAAGATTTTACAAACTGAAAAATATAAAACAAAATATACAAATATACTGTACCATATCTAAATTCTTTTTTAATTTCTTAGAATTAGGTTCATCCATTACTCTAGCCTTTCGTTTCATAGATTTTCTCTCAGCACCTCTATCCTTTGCATTCGTTTTATCTGAATCATTTTCATTATCGGTCGATGAATCCTTATCTCCGTATTTTTCACCATCATTATCAAAATCGGTACTGCTATCCTTCTTTGCACCTTCATAATCGCCTTTTGCAGTTTTATTTGATTTTCTTGCACGCTTTTTCACAACTAGAAAACAGAATTCTTAATGAATATTCCTTGCTTACGTATACCTTGCTTATTCCTTAATACAAAAATAATAAAAGAGAAAATAACTGAACACTTCACCTTATACATTTCAATAATATGAAAGAAATTAAATCAAATTTCAAAACTTTCGAATAATTTTGAAAAATACCTTTCGATGAAGATTGGGATTTTTTCGAACCCTTATGGCTTGAAGATTTCCTGCGGGATATTATTGGCAGTTTTTTACCAGAATCATATGGTTTCACAAGGAAACGAAGGATATTTAAAACCTATGAAAAAAAAATGGAAATTTAATGGAAGCGAATATTCGAAATGCACAACAATGAACAATGAACACTTTTTCCAAACATTAAATATTATTTTTTCGTTCTGCGGAGAACACTGTAACAAATAATAATGTATACTTGCTCTTGTAAGTTATTCATAAATGCATTCAGCATTGATAAATCCATTAATATTTGGAAAAGTAAGCAAAGCAGAAAGTAAAAAGAAATTATACCATTTCTTCCTTATTAAGACCATGATCAGTACCAAGAATTCGACGAATGACATGAAGCTGAAAAAAATGGAAAAGTCCATCTAAAAAAAAAAAACTCTAGCAAATTTGGAAAATTTGAAATTAGCAGAAAATCATTTCTAATTATAAACTTCTAAACAAGAATAGAAAAACATGATATTTACTTCGCTATTCTTGCATTTCATCGCCAAAGCTTTTTTTCTGTCAAATTCTGGAGCAATTAAATCAAATGAAAATCCATTGAATTTACGAATATCTCTCCTTCGAGTTGTTGCAGATCCAGGTCCCCCATAACACAATTTATGCAACCATATTATGGGCTGATCCGAATTTACTTTTGACATAGATTGTTTGACTAAATTATAGTATTAATGGTTTTCCATAAACACAAATAAAATATATATTGTTATAATTAATTGAAGCGGCTCCAAATAAGATTTTTTCAATATTTCCTAGAATAATAATGCTACTAATGAATATGCTATGAATAATGCTATTTTATTTCACCAATTATGAACTAACCGTATTCGATTTCTCCTAAAGGCGTTCCAGAACCAGATGGCTCATTAGTAGTTTTCTTCGGAGTTACTGCTGCAACTGTCCTAACAACAGCATGACGTTCCCTTTTGCCTTTTAATATTACTGATTCATCGAGGACTTCTATAACTTAACAGTTCTATTCTATTTATCAAAAACAACGAAAAGATGGTGAAATAACTAATATAATTCCCTACAATAAATAAAATGTTGACCAATGAATCAAAAAAAAATTTACGTACGTAATCTTCGCATTGATTTCCTCGATTTTGTTTCAATTTCACTTTTTTCATCCTTTTCGCCATCCTTTTTATTTTCTGGAGAATCTGTATTTTCCGCAGTTTCATTAGCCTGGGGTAAGACGGTTTCTTCTTTTACTTCGTCACATTTATTTTCCACAACAGCATTTTCCTTCTTATTACTTTCATTCTTAAATGATATTTCATAAAATTTTTGCTTCTAATATGGTACTATTACTCTGGAAACAACTTTAATATTTTTATGGGAACAATTGGTTGAATAAATTCGAATTGATATTTCAGAGGCGAAATTCTTGGTTTTTTTAAAGTTGTTCAACATGACAAATGGCAGAATTTAATACAGAATGCATTTCCGATAATCACTTTGGCTATTATACTAAGTTCAAGCATCGTGGGTTTAGCCTCTCCATATCCTCTCCTCCCAAGGCAATAAACTTGAAATTCTTGTCTTGAAATTGAAATTCGATGCCAAGGATCCTAATTCTTTCTTACTTTTATCTTTAATTAACTCCTTGGCGAAAAAATTTTATTCTATTTAATTTAAAATTTTTTAATGCAGCGAGCCAAACCACAATTTAAAAGTGCTATATAACAAAAATATCGAAACCGAATCAAGAAAGAGCTCTCAATCTGTCAATCCTCACGGTGTCCGGGCCAGGTGAGTTTTCCCGTGTTGAGTCAAATTAAGCCGCAGACTCCACCCCTGGTGGTGCCCTTCCAAGCGACAATAGTTGAAAAATAAGATCAAAATAATTTCAAGAATTTTACTAATTACAATAAATGTCGCCTGAACGGCAAAAGCAAAAACTATTTTTGAGGTTATTTAGCCTTCGAATTTTATTGGACTACTCGTGGAACCTTAATTTCACTCAGCCGTAAAATGCTGGTTATAAATCTTGTTATAATTGTTGTGATTTGAAATAATTTTCCTGCATAATAAAAAAATACTTTAGAAAAAACAACGAACCAGCTGTTCGGAGTCTTCCTCGACACTATTTTCTCCAACAGCCGATGAAGACATTTCTTCCATATTTTATTAGTCCTAAAATGAGAAAAAAATAATTCCTATCATGTGATTTAAAAATGAGCCAAAGGCATAAATTACTGAACAGAAATTCTATAAATTGCACGACATAAATGCCAAATGTCGAAAGAAAAAATTTATATGCTTTATTTCAAGAATGACTAAAATAGCAGTGTTAGTGCGATTGTCATTATTAAATTAAATATATTTAGTATAACATGAATATATTAAATACAAAATATAAATATAAATTAAAATAAATGAAACATAAAATATAAATACATTAAATTAAATTAGCTTATAAAACCAAAATTTGCTGAACATTTATTAAGTTATCAAATTTCTATCTGATAATTTAAGAGATGAAATTGTCAAATTAGCAATTAATAACAATGAAAAAATGGTTAACATCGCCAAATTAGCGATAGATAATAAAAAAATATATTTAATTTTGTCAAAAATTTGAATATGTTTAAAAAATACCAAATCAATAGTTAAAACTGTCAAAAATATGCTCAAATTCATTGAATTAGCTGCTAAAATGTGAAAAATATGGTTAAATATGGTTTATTAAAAATATCACTGCCAAATTAGCGACTGATAACCACCTAATATTGTCAACCGGTAGCTACTTTTGGAATTAGCCAAAAATGCCAAAAGTATGCTTGAAATTATCAAATTATCAAACTCGCGAAGCCAAAATATGCTTGGAAATGCGAAATAAGCGACTGATAATATTGATAATTCAGTTGATTTAAATCAGTTAGAAATTAACAAGGCAACTGCAGCGCAAATTCGTTTGAAATGCAAAAAAACGATCAAAATTAATTTTGAAACTAATTTTGATAAAACTCCACTATAAAATTTTTGAAAACACTGGAAAAATACAGAAGTAAACAATTGAAGAATAAATGACAAATAATTTTTGATTCATTAAATAAATGCAATCAAATAAACATAAAATTGCCAAATTCTGCCATTCCAAATTATTCGATGATATTGAAAAACAACCGACCGGTCAAGAAATCTTAAAAAGCGACCCCCCTCCCCCACCCCCTCTCCCAAACGAAGGACCGACAACTCGACTAAACTAGTTTCGCGCCAACTTGCTATGCTAGTTTACTGCAACAAATTGGAAACTGGAGTTGTCAGCCACGGCGAATTTTACATTTGAACTAAGGCTCGGTATCTCATGGTTCGGTACGCTTTTATTAGTCGTTCTCATTTATGGACTTGGTTTATCTGATAACATTGGCCATGAGAGTGGGGCTGAGAAGGAGCGGGGTTCCCCCTCACTTCTTAATAAGTGGATTGTATCTGCCATCCCGACTTAAAATTATTATAGTAAGCGGTTTCTTATAATTCTATCACTAGACTGGTCCATTAGTGCAAATCTTTATTGAAGAGTATAAGATAAGGTGATTAAGCTGATCACTGGGGTTGAATTTTATATATTTAAATTTATGCCAAATATCTTCGAATATTTCAGACTTGGCTGGCACTATTCATTATCAATGAGATCCGAGAGTCACTTGAGGAAAGCTGTGTGAGTCTTCTTTTTTCAAATCCACTCTTGCCTGAGTTGGAACCACAGTAGCATCGGCACTGCGAAATGGGAGCAGTAACCCAATGAGCCATTTTATTGCCAATTTAAGCCGATAACTAAATCACGAATATCAAAAAGTACAATTCAGTGGTGGCCAATGCAAACGTTAAATTGGATTCGAATAGGGCGAATTTATTCGATTCGGAATGGATGGCTGCCCATTCATATCGAAATTAACGCTTATTATTTGCAAAAATTCCTTTTCTTATAGTTTGTAGTTATCACTAATTAATAAATTTTAATGCGGTTTAGTGTTTTGTTCAATAAATATTGAAATCATAAAATTTTGAAATTCTCTAATCAGAATTGATTTTTCGGTACTCTTTTTTAAGGATCCTTATGGACAATGTGTCGAGAAGTAGCAGCAGCATTCACCTATTTCTAGTGCTTCTATTGTTGCTAAATTTGAATGCAGTGTATTTTATCGAACTCTCCTCTCAATAATGCTATTGTAAAAAGGATATTTACTGATTTAAAATACTCCCTTCAAATAAAAAACAAATTGAGATTGAAATATACAAGTCATAATATTGCATGTTGTCGTGCGATTCGCTTGCATATATGAATCTGCGCACGTCAAAAGAGGTAATAACTGGGTGCAGTTCACAATATTTAGGCAACCACCAAGCGCTCACCTACTAGGGTAGTTTTCTAGCGCTGTTGCCGTGGGTTTGTGGCATAAATTCGGAAGAGTAGTGGAATGTGTACAATTAGCGCCATCGTCTAAAATAAAATTGCTTCAAAATTTTAAATTTTTAAAAAATATTAAAAACATTCGCATATTTTCGCTTATTTTGCTTTCGCTATATTTGAAATTTTGCAAAAGGCTTACGATTGCATTAAATTCAACTGTTAAGCAGCAAAATGCGCAGGATGACGGCCATATTCCTTCAGTTGTATTCGAAAAATAGAGATTAACCGGGAAAGATTGACTGCTGTAATGAGAATTGTTAAGCTGTTAAATCAAATTCGATTTAATCAAAAATAGCAAAAAAATGGAAATACATAAAAAAAATCGAAATATACTTACGGATTTGCATTATTTACTGCATCTTCAGCAAGCGGGACAAAAGTAGCAGTGCAGATGACTGGATCTCTGCTTTTGGAAGCAGAGAGAGACGATAGAGGAAGCGAAGGCAATACTTTAGAATTTAATGAACAGGAGAAATGTACTTCCTGATTGAATAATTGGGCTGCATCCTTCCCTCTATAATATTTAACTATATAGACTGGATGATGGATACGCATTTCGGCATTCAAGAATTGTCCAAATCAGTCCAGAACATCGTATCACAGATTTCGAATATGCTAACGATGTAGTCCTTTTTGCTGACATGTTAGAACATGTGAACAAGTAATGCTAAATAACGTGTCAGAAACTGCAGCAATAGGACTCAGGTCAATGTACACAAAACAAAAGCCTTTTCGTCTTATGTGCAAGAAGCTATAAAATGATAAAATGCATCTTTTTGTAAATTCATTGCCGGTCGAGGAAGTGCCCAATTTTAAATACCTTGGGCCTACTCTAATAACAATGGCCAGGCAAAAGACGATATTATAGCCTGGATCAAGGCAGTTAGAAATGCGTTCTTCCGTTTGACGGAATCATTATGGAGCAGTGAAATTACCATTAAAACGAAAGTCCGCATCTATATAGCCATGATTCGTTCGATCTTCCTATGTAGCTCTGAGACATGGGCAATGAGAGTGGAGGATATTAAGAAGCTATCTATCTTTGACCTCTCTTGTCTAAGGTACATTTTACGGATCCGTCGAGTGGATAAAATACCACATGATCGCATCCATCTTCGTTCAAATACCACTTGCATTAATAATGTTATCACAGAGCGTCGCCTTCGGTGGTTGGGGTACATTTTCCGTCATCCATCATATGAATTGACTCACATTTCGTTACTTGCTAAACCCTATGATGGCTGGCGTCAAAAACGAGGTGTACTAAAACCTGGACTGACACGGTCAGGAAAGGTTTTGAATGTATATAGGGGGACCAGCAATATATGGATTTAGACAATGGAAAAAGGAATGGCTTCTATTATTGTCGACGATGGCATCAGATCGCGCAGCTTGGAAATCTTACATTTTACCATTGTAGCCAGTGGAGCCAGTCTAATCTAACCGGTAATGGTGAAAGCTATTAGAAGAAGAAGACTGAATAAGAACATTAGCACTGCGAACATTTTCTAGCGGAACTGCCGATGGCATCTGCCAAATGGGCATTTAGGGGCTTTCAGCTCGAATTTTAGGAATCGTCGAGAGCATATATATATTGTTCCTCTAGTTGCATTCAGACGATAGAGATTAACCGAGAAAGGTGTAAGTTAGTTCGAGTATTTTTCGACAAATCGCTATTCTCCCCTTATTTACTATTATAAAAAAAGATTGGCCATACTCAAATAATATCGTACTTATCCTATTCACAATATTCGGATGAACAATTATTCTTGCAGAAATAGTTCCATTAATTTTTCTTTTTCATAATTTTCCTTTCATAGTTTTTCCTTATAATTGGTTTGAAATTTCTTAAACGATATTTAAACGATATAAACGATATTCTAAAAGGTGTGCAATTACTTATTTCTACGAAGAAAATTTCCTTCCTTTAATCTAATATTTCTCTCACATATTTAATATATTAGATCACTTAATTTTTCCACATATATTTCGGCAAAATTTCCTAGTTTTTCACTTTCTTTTAATTTTTTCAGCGTGCAACATCAGAACGCTTGTGGACGTTGCAAGCCAAGCGATCACTGTCCACAACCTTTCTAAATATCGTTTGGATATCGTTTGCTTGTCGGAGATTCGTTTTCCTTATTTCGAGTCTCGATTGATTAATAATCCTAGCTCGGAGCAGAGGCACTTGCTATATTACTGTGGTGCTTCCGAAGCAGATAACTCGGGACGAAATGGCGTAGCGATTGTCATGTCTAACAAGGCCCATTCCGCTTTGATTGAGTTGAAACGGTAACGACCGTACGATCTATGTTTTAAGTTTTGCAATATCTCGGTCATCAGTGTCTATGCTCCAACTTTGTCTGCAGATGACTGTGATAAAGATAAGTTCTATGCGGAACTTCAACTACTAACAAAATCTTTACCAAAATATGACATGGTCATAGTCTGAGGAGACTAGAATGCACGTGTAGGTCATAATGCCGCTGCGATGACCTCTACCTCTACAATTGGCATCGGAGACCGGTGAGCCAATGGGGAACGCCTTCTTCATTGAGCCGAAGAGCATAGGCTTTTTATCATTAAAATTTGCTTCCAGTGTCGTAGAAAACATCTAGTCACGTGGAACTCCCCGGATAACCAACATTTCAACCAGATTGATTATATCTTAGTCAGTCGCCGTTAGAAGAGTTCCGTAATAGATGGTCTTTCTTGCCGCGGAGCTGAAACGATCAATCTTCATGAATCTGACCATGTTATGATTCGAGCCAAGATCCGCATAAAATTGACAACTCGCAAAAAACAGCATCCCCAAAGATCCTTTAACTATTTCAAACTAAAAAATTCGGTTGCAGTGAGCGCATTTCACACTGAATTACTGAAGCATCTCAGTGATGCAAATATGACAATCAATGATTTTTCTGGAACGGCAAATGAATACTGGTCCAAAACTAAACTAAAGGAATGTCTTCGAAATTCAGCCACTTCCACGCTAGGGCATACTAATAGGAGGTGTACTAGTTGGATATCGGAAGCAATTGTCCAACTGTCTGAATGTCAGGTGATCCTGATTACCTGATGCTTCGAAGATTTGCAACGATAGAGCACGGCGGGACAAAAATCACTATTGGAGTGATATGGCCTCAAGAATAGAGGTGGCGGCTCGATTAGACGATAATAGGAAACTATTCCGCCTTCTTCATAAAGCAAAATTATTTAAAACTATAATTCGGGGAACGATCAGTGAAATGGTAAGGAACAGCAATGGCGTGCCAGTCAAGAATATTAAGTGCCTCATAAGATGGAAAGAATTCTTTGAGGCCAAACTTAACCATGAAGCGCCATCTGTTGATTCTGATATAACTGATACGTTCACTGAACCATACGCTTGCAGTTGTGACGCGGCGCGGTTGTGCTTTCACATTACTATGACCAGATATTCACGTTAAGAAGGGTGTTGGAAACATCGCTTCAGATATTTGCAACCCACTGTCACGTGTCACTTTGCGGCCGCCTTTGATTCAGTTGATAAAAAGGCGCTTTGGAGGGTGATGGACGGTGTTCCAGAGAAAATCATTCGACTCATAAAGGCATTTTATGAGCGGTGCAGATCTTTATATATGGGGAACTGACAGATTCTTTCGAGATAAAAACTGATATCCGTCAAGGTCCTTTCCCCTTACAATATTATGCGATAGACTGAGTGATTGACATCGCTTGTCGGCAATCAAAGGATGTCCAAATCAGTCCAGAGCATCGTATCACTTGAATAAGCTGATGACGTAGTCTTTTTTGCTAACAGTTATGTCGAAATACAAGTAATGCTAAATAACGTGTCAGAAATTGCATCAAGAATAGGACTCAGAGTTAATGTATTCAAAACGAAAGTGCAAGATGCTGATAAAATGCCTCTTTTTGTAAATTCATTGCTGGTTAAGGAAGTGCCCGATTTTAAATACCTTGGGTCCACTCTAATACCAAATGGCCAGGCAAAAAACGAAATTATAGCCCAGATCACGACAGCTAAACAATGTCATTCATAAAGCTTGCTTAATTTGAAGTGAAAGTGAGTCTAAATTGATTGTATAGTTGAAATTGTCCCTTATAATTGAGATTCAGATATCAGATGAGAAAGTTTTCCTTTAAATAATTTACTTGATTTTTGATATCTAAAGAAGGGAGGTTGCAATATACTCAAGAATAGGCCAAATGAATTTTTTGTATATGAGGAATCTTCATAAGAAATCTTTGTTTTTAAACGACCGAATTCTTTACTATGGTTCTAAAGAAAAGGTCGAAATCAAGATGTTCATCCACGACTATGTCAAGGTCTGAATATTCGCGACTCGTCTGATTATGTTATCATTAATAAAGATATTAGGGAGATCGGAGCCTTTCGAATTCCGTTCCACTACAAAATCTAGCGTGCCACAACAAAACTATCAAAGTTTAGTTCGCGATTATCAGTAGAGTCATCCAAACACATTTCGCTAATACAAAAAATACTATTAGGATTATCAATTAATAGGAGCTATAGAATCTATATTTTAAATTTCTAGACTGAATATAAATTTTCCCAAGTAACCTTACTTACCCAAATATCCGAGATCATAGCCTGAGCAGAAAGGGAGATGAACAAGAAAAATTACTCATAAAACTTAAATTGTTAAAGGCCAATTTTTAGCGGGGTTTGTTGTTCTGTTCAATGAAATATATTAACTAATAATTTTATGATTTTTCTGATTAAATGGCCAATTGGCCAATTCCCTGTAGGCCATGGCGTCCCCGCCCCTCCCTTCCACCCCAGAGGAATGTGTGGGAGCTTATTTCAAATTATTTTTTTTTAAATTTAACAACAAATCATTTGATTATTTTAATGATTATTTTATGCATTTTATTATTTTATTATATTTCATTCAAAATTCTTGGATGGAACAATTTAATTAATTAAATTGAGTTTATTTTGAAACTCGAAAATTCAACCGCACTCGGGGTCCACGGATTTTTGTGCTATTATTTAGAATCTGTGGAAAAATGACTGATTAACGCTGATTTAACATTTAAGGGCCAACAAAGGCCAATATATTTCGACTCAACTTCAAAACTTCAACGAGATCAATATAAAATATTAAACAATAAGGGGTTTTTTAAAAAATATTTAAGTAATTTAAATATATAAATAAAAAAACTGAATTTAGAAGGCCAAATTTTTTATTTATAAGGGCCAATTAATGTCTCTTTTTTCCGAAGGCTACGAGCCATCAAGGTCGATTATTAGGCTTGGACTTAGGGGGAGAACGGGGCTTAAGCCAAAGCCGCTGCTGCCGATTAATGGTGATAACCGTAAGCCAAAAAATAAGATTAGCGCTAAAATACATAAACAACTAAATTCGATTATTTTTATCTAACTGGTATCAAAAAATAACTACTCATCTATCGTCTTCAGTCCAACCTGATATTTCATCACTTTCTCTACTACCTTAACTCCTTCTACTTTATTTATTTACATACACTCATAACTATTTGCCTGGCTTAATTTTCTTAAATAAATTAGCCACAATATTAAAAGTGACTGCAAAGTAGTACTGATTATAATTACTATTTTGCGGTGAAAACATTGATAACAAATTTCCATAAAAAGTAAAGTGCATTGCAATATTTGCATTCTTCTAGGAATAAATAAATAAAGGAGAATGAAAATTTATAATTTTTTTTACACAATTGGACAAAAATCATCTAATTTCCTCCTATTTTTATTTGATTTGAAAATGGCGCGAAAATTTTGAAATTTAAACTTTTATTTTTATTTAAAAACCGATCCGAAACGGTTGTTAGAGGAAAACATTCTTTTAGGCACTGTTTGTCATAATTTTGGAAACGTTTGTTGAATGGCTTTTTGTTTCATTTTTGTAATTTTAATGATCTTTAACCTTTAATGACCTTTAATGACCTTTGGATGGCGTCAGCGGCGACCGAACAGCTTTACCAGAGATGTTCTACCCTTGCAGCCGACGCAGCCACCTTCACCAGCAATGATGAGAATTGGACGCTAGAAGAGGGAGCTTCTTCTAAGGAAAAAACGGTGCCTAAACACTCTTAAAGCATTCATTTTAATGGAAAATTTGTCGAATTCAATTTTATCAGTTTTTCATGGATTTTTGCTTATTTTTTAAGATTATGGAAGATGAAAGAATTCAAGTTGCGATAAGAATTCGGCCAATTGCCGATTCTTCTTCATCCGATAAGAGAATTATAGAAAAAGTTACGCCAAATACGTTGCGATTAACGAATGGAGTCGAATATGCTTTTGACTACGTTTTCTCAGAACAAACTTCTCAGGTTTGTTTGTTATTGACGCGAAATGGTTTTCTAAAAACTGCGACTTCCTTTCACTACGAATCACTGAGAGTCAAATAAAAGCTTCCAATATTTTTTCTCAGAAATATGGTTTTCCAAAAAAAATAATTGCGAATAATATTTAGAAAGAAAAAGCACCGGAGAATTGCTTGTAAATTCTTAAAAGTCGCGTGATAGCAATTAGCAAAATTTTGTGATAAAAACTGTTTTGCGGAAATTTTCTTGGTTTTGGGTTCTAATTTTATTTAGAGGGTCATCTTAAATAATTTGATAATTATTTAATTTAGGATGAACTTTTTGAATCGCTGGGTAGGCGTATCGTCGATGGTTGCATGCAAGGTTACAACGGTACATTATTTGCTTATGGACAAACTGGTTCTGGCAAGACCCACACAATGTTGGGTCCAAACGGTGGAAAAATTCTGGCCAATGATTTATTTGAACAGCGTGGAATAATTCCTCGATGTGTTGAATATTTGTTCCAAAATTTGAACGATTTATGTTCGAAGGTAGGGAAAGTTTTTTATCAGTCTCTGAAACTGTATTTATATGATATATGATGGTTATTTTTTCTCTTTTTTTCCATGTTTTCACGAATTGTTTGCAGCGCGGTACTTCTTTTGGTTATCAAGTGCGATGTACTTATGTGCAACTATATCAGGAAACATTTTTTGATTTGATGAATCCAAAATTTTCTCGATTAACGCTTAGAACAGGGTTTGATGCTGAAAATTATGTTGATGGGGCCACAGAATACTGCGTATCATCTGCAGATGATGCATTGGCCGTAAGTTTTTTGCATAAAACTACTTTTATTTTTTTACTTTTTTTTATTTTTTTCATATTTTTTTTCTTATTTTTTTCTTATTTAATTACTTTTTTTTCTTATTTCATTTGAATTTGCTATTTTAAGTGTTTAAAAAATTGTTAATGTTAGATGTTAAACAATGGTTGGGAAAATCGACGTGTTGCTGGAACTTCAATTAATGAAGTCAGTTCGCGATCGCATGCTATTTTTACTCTTAGGGTCAAGATGACTTGCGCTGTCAACGATATAACTACTATCAAAAATTCAGTACTCAATCTTGTTGATTTAGCAGGTAGTGAGCGGCAGAAATATTCTTTAGTAAGAGGCGAACGTGCAAAGGTAATATTTTTAAAGTTGGTTTACTGAATATTATACTTTGCATATAATCACTTTCAAGGAAGCATCCAGCATTAACACTTCATTATTAGTACTTGGTCGTGTGATTCGTGCTCTCACCGATACGGAATATAAAGCGGGATCTTATGTGCCTTACAGAGACTCGAATCTCACTTTTCTGCTCAGGAATTCCATTGGTGGAAATACCCGTACATGTGTTGTCGTCACTTTGCATCCTAATGAACGGTTCTAATTTCAAAATTTTTTTGCTGAATAATAGGTATAATGCATTAAATATATATATATATATATTATAGATTCTGTGAAGAAACTATTTCTTCTCTCACGTTTGCTTACGAAATGAAAAAGGTTAAAAACAAGACAAGAGTGAACGAAGATTTAACTGGTGAAAATATTGTTGCATGGAAAGCTGAAATATTGCGGTTAAAATCCGAATTGAGCGCTATGACAGGTTATTCTCAAAATAATGCATTTTTGTATTAAATATTTTGCTTATTGTATTTCTCTCGAAAAAAGCACTGATTAGGTTGATTTGGCTGGCTACAAGATTGGGGCGATTTTCTACGAAAAATCCATTTATTCTCATCAAAGAGTTGGTTGGTGTTGTGTTCAGAATGCAGGTTTTCTATATCATCTACAAGTATTAAAATGATAGATATCAGTTCAGAATTCATTGAAATAAAAATCATTGAAATCTACATTTTTTTTTCAAGATGCATTTTTATTTATTCCAGTAGCATATCATGAAGTTTTGGAGATGAATTCCTCGAAAGTATTTTTTGGGTTCATTTAGTCATTGAAGATATAGAAATAGAGATACTAAGTAATATGTGATATTCATTCTTTTTTAAAATAGGTTATTTCCAAGGCAAAATCGTGTGATAATTTATTCTAGTAATTGATAAAGCGATTAAATTAGTATTCTCAAATTATAGGCTTTAATAGTTTCTATTAAATGTTTTGTTTGAAAAAATAAGCTAAATTCAAATTTTATTATGATCTAGCCATATAAAAGTTTATAATGATTGTTTAAGCCAAATCATGCTTTATTCTACTAACCTATCCAATTGATATAATTTTAATTTTATCCTCTAATTAAAAGAAATTTATCGGAATTTAAAAGAAAATTTCCTATACTCGTTCTATTAGGTTCTGTAGTTTTTACAGTTCTAGCTAAATAAATATAAAAACAAATTGTATTATGTTCCAATAGTGGACGAATAAAGATTTTCTACATTTTGATTTCTTTCTTGCTATTATAAAGTTATTGAAACATAAGTCCTAAAACCTTTCATCATTTCTAAACCTAATATTATCAAGCGAAAAATGTTCAGTCGTTATATTTCGTTTAGTGAATTCACGTAGCACCCATTTCGCGATTTTTTGATTTTTTTTCATATTTTGAAGTCTTCACAATATTTAAAAAATATTCATCCTATCTGCTGTGCTAATTCCAATGTTGTTGTTTAGCACTGTTTAAGTCAAATCATGTCTTCATTAAGCGATGCTTGTTGCCAGTTGATTAATGGCAAACTCTTCCTGTCTTTGGTACATCTTGAAGATCTAAATTTCCTTTCATGAATTTTGCGAATCATTTACTGTTGTATTGTTATAATTTTTCGTCTTCTTAAGTTTTATCAATCCATTTCTTCGCTTCAGCAGTATTTTTGTCAAGACAGATGAAAAAAAAGAGTAGGGACGTGGCGAACCATTGCATTCAAACTTGATACTCTAACTAAACCTTAAATGCAATAAAATATAGCAATTTAAGTTAGTTTCTGTTCCTAATATATAATTTATGGTAATTTTCATTATTCTTCTGAATATATTTTGAATGTATAAATGAATATCTTTTCCGTTGAATTTTATGAGCTTGAAGGAAATTTCGTGTAAAATAAAAAATTTTGCTTCAGATTATACGGATTTATGATTTAGATCTAAATTTATGGTTTTAGCTTAAGAAAAAAATATTAATTATTTTTTACTGGACTGATATTTTCAGTTTTGATAGAGAAAAACAAAGAATTATCCACAGAAATCCAGGTATTTTTTGCCTATTTGCTATGTCAAAACCATAAATCAATCTTCTTTTTTTAAAAATATCTTTTAGTCAACTAGAGCAGAGAAGGACAAATTGGTAATGGAAATTCAAAAATGGGAAAAATTGTTGCTAGAAAAAGATGAAGAACTGCGAAAGTGTCGAATGCTATTAGAAATTCACAACATTTTTCAATATTCTAATAATTCGAATGGAGATTTGAATGCGAAACAAATTGAAGACAATGCACGATACTATTTTATATATAATTTTTATTATAATTTTTATTTCAATTTTTTTTTTGAATCGAGTTTTTGAAAATAAGGAAATTTGTTGCCTTTACGTTCGAAAAGTTTTTTTCAGACACAGATCGTGTATTCTTCAAGCAAAGATGCAAATGTTATGCAAGCCAGTAGTATTTTTACTAATGACCCCAATAAATTGGAAAAGTATTCTCTTCTAGAACGAGCTGAAAAGGTTCGATATTCAATAAGTGAAAGTTTTTAAAATGTTGGCTAAAAAATTTTTATTTTTCATTTGATAAGCTATTTGGTTTTAGGCTGAAAGAAATGTAGTTTTGCTTACTCAGAAAATTAAAGAACTCGAAAAACTTCATGTTAATGAAATTAACCGTTATTCTCATTTTGAAAAGAGTTTGAAGCAACTGACGGGGAATCGTGATCGTCGCGAAAGTTTATACGTAATTTTTTGCATTTTTTTGATTCTATAAATTGATCATATTTTTCTTGCAATCGATCATCATTTAAAACTTCTTATTTTTATTTTATTCTATTTTTATTTTTATTTTATTCTTATTTTAACTGTTTTAATTGTTTTATCGAATTTCTTTAAAATTTTGGTTGTTGCTTTCATTAGATGATTCCTCATGATCCATCATCATCGAATAAAAAGGCGAAAGAACGTCGCGATAGGCGAACGACATTATATGCACCAAGCTCTGGAGGAGGAAAATTACCTATGAAGCCATGTACAGAAGTTCCAATCGAGAATATTCTTGCAGAATTTCCAAATGATGAGCCTTACGAGATCATAAAAGTCTGTAAAACATTTTTCTTTTGTATTCATATTATTCATTTTTGTATTCTTTTAAAGCTATTAATTTTTTTCTATTGGTGATATTTTTTCTAGAAACTGAATGAACAATTAGCTGCGGAAGAAAATGAGCGATTAAATTTAGAAATGAAACTAAACATGTCAGAACAGATCAACGATGAACGAGCTTTACTGATCAAAAAGTAAGAATTTCATTCAGCCAAAGATTCCCAAAGATTTTTTTTTGTATTTTGATATTTTTCTTATTTGGTACAGTGATATACTGATTTCGATGGAATTTATTACATTTTTTGAATTGAATTAAAGATATCAACGAGCTGAAAGTGAAAAATTGGCCACATTCTCAGAAAAAATTGTCACCTTAGAACAGGAACTTGAAAAAATTGGTAATGAGAAAACTGCTATTTTCCAAGAACTGCAATCTGTTAAACATGATTTCTCGGATTTATTGAAAACAAATGATGAAAAAATTTCCACTATACGTGAGCTGAGTAAAACTTGCAATTTTCAACAAAAAGAGGTTTGAAAAACTTAATTTCTAGAAATTTTTGAACCATTTAGCCAAACTTTTACAAAAAGTTTTATATTTATTTCTATTTATGTATTTATTTATGTATCTATTTATTTATTTTAGTTCGAATTATCACTAGATTTAGTGTATTGCTAATATTTATTCAAAGTTCATTTAGTACCATAGGTTAAACAGAATGGTTGCTTTGATATAATATAAATTTTCAGCTTCATAGACTAAATAGTGAAGTGGCTAGATTAATGGCAGTTGTTGACGACGCTGTAGAAAGGGAAAAAGAATGGCGTACAAAAGCGGAAGCTGCTCTTCTTACAGTTGAAACTGACACCAACGTATTTTCGAGAATATTTTTCCTTTAAAATTCTCATTTTTTATTCAATGGGAATTTTTTAATATTTGTTGATCTCAATAAAAAATTTTTTTAAATATTATTTCAGCACAACTTCCAACCTAACAACTCAAGGGAATATGACGTTCAGGAATGTCCGAGCATTTCTGGATTTTACACCGATTTGAAAGATCAGACAGAAGATTATATTAATCTAAAGGTAAACAAGTATTTCCCATATGTTCAGAAGCAATTTCGGATAATTAAACCATAATTTTACTATTATATTTTATTTTTAGAAATTATTTACTGAAAGTAAAGAACATGTGGAACTCCTTAATGAACAGCTATCGGAGCTACAAGAGAACTACAATAGTAATTTATGTGCTTTAAATGAATTGAAAGCGGCTCAGTTGCATCATGAACATGAAATTGAAAGCAAAAGAGCCAAAATCAACGATTTACAACAAAATGTACATTGCTGTTGCTCAGTTTTATTTTTTAAATTGTTGATAATATTGACTAATATTGAATAATATTGAATAGCCAAAATAAAATTTGTTTTTTTTTATTTGTTTTATCTTCTATCTTTTGTTTTTTTAGCTTATAAAATTGGATGAGGAAAAAAAAATGGTGGAAGAAGCAGCTGAACTGCGCTTGGAAAAAACTTTAAAGGAATTAAATGATGTCAAAAGAGAATATCGAGTCCTCTTGGAAGTCGCGGTTTGTTTTTTAATGTTATAAATATTACCGATTGCTCTATTGCTTATTATCAATAGTCAGGTCAGTTTATTTATTTAAAGGCCGAAAATTTAGCATTAATTTGCACAATTTAGATTGATATAGCATATCCAGCGAGTGAACGTCGATCTTCTAATTTTGGCAATGTAGTTGTTCGTCTTTCTCAAAAATTACAGGAAATTTCTGAAATGGAAAGGACGATACAGTCGTTCGATAAAGAACGTAACGGTTACCTCGAGCAAATTGAGTTAATGCAATCTGTAAATTTTAGTTGTCATAAGTTCTTTTAATAATAGTTACCATATCTACTGATCTTATATTTAAAATTTTCAGAATTTAAATGCAATAATCAAGCAAAGAGATAGTGCTTTTTCTGCAGTGGATGATCTTTTAAGTAATCAAAATCATAGAAATAAAATAAAATATGTTCAATCACTGCGTGAAAAGAACAGTGAATTGCAAGAACGTGTGTCTTCGCTTGAGAAGGTCTGATGTTTATAATTTATGAAATTTATAAAATTTAGACTGTTTGACTGTTATGGCATATTTATATGATTGAATGATGATATTTCCAGTATTTGAAAATTCTTCAAAGATTGTTCTTTGTTCTCTCTATATTTTTTGTCTGGTATTTACTATTTATTACGATGTAATATTGTTTGTCTGGATTATGTTGTCACTTCTTCGATCACATGAAACTTCAAATGACTTTTTGGAAAAAGGATTTTAAATTGGTACTAGGTGGAGCCAGCCAAATTGTTAGAAAAAGAAGAAAATTCCTTATATTTCTCGTCATTTTCAAGTTAAAATTGTCAGCGCATTGTTTATATTCATAAATAAGCTGGCATAATGCACTTCCATTTGCTTTTTTTCTCAAGAAAAAAAGCTGTTTCAAAAAAGATCTTTCTAAAAGTCTCTATTTCAAATTAATTTCAGCAGTTAAAGAAAACAAATCCCGTGATTTCGTATGCCGATTGATGATATTTCCTTCTTACGAAATCAGTGATGGAATCTACACTTTAACTGATCTCTTCTTTACTTTACTTCGTTTTAAGTAAAAATTATTAATTATCCATTCTTTGCTTTTTTTCGCGTATTTTGAGTATTTTGTATTCATTGTTTGCAATTCGTTTCATTAATTTTCAATTTCATTAATGACATTCTTCATTCAAATATATTTTATGTACTATTGTATTATGCATACATAAACAATCTTATTTATTTAAATTTTTGTGAATTTCTATTGGATTTATATTTCTTTGAATAAAGTCGATATGAGTTGGAAGCAGTGGAAAATTTTCATAAGTTAATTTTCATTATAAATACTACCTCAACCATTACCTATTTTTAGATTAATGGGCCAAAAAAAATGATATGTTATGCTATTTCCATTTGTAGAAATAACAAATTGTTCTGCTTAGGTATTGTCATTATTTAAGTATCGTATTTTGCCTTAATCGTATTTTAATTTTTCTATTCGTTTTTTATTACACTTTGCTTAAAACCTTTTGTTGGTAGCTGTGAGGTTGTTTACTTTCAGGGTCCTTTTCAACTCTTCAAAATCATTGAAAATCCCGCAAGAGCTTTTAATATTGTCTATGTTTCTATGTTTATCAGAAATTTGAGTTGTCTGAAAAATTTTCAATTATGATGATTATTAATAGTCCAACATATTAATAGTTGATTGTCGTATGATGGAAATGGTTTTGGTCTTAGAAAGATTCTTAAGAACCATTGGGGGCCTTCAAGCTGGATTTTGGGGACCATCGCCCTGCTTAATTCTTTCATCCTAAGTAAAGGCCAATATGTCAGTTGGCTAAACGAACAGATTTTAAAAGGATTTCAATTGTTTTTCTTTATTAATGGTAATTTTACCGATGGATCATAAAGCGATTCTGACAGCAAATCTGATCGGATTCTTTTTAGCGTGCATAAATTCGAGCAAAATAAATTTTCTTTTAACTATTTCTATTTAAATTACTGTTGTTTCATCGTATTTATCTGATTTTTTATTATTGGTTCTGGTGCCATCACATAGTGCATGTTCTCTGCTTGGTCTCTGTGTAAAAAAAAAAAAAGCTGTATGGATGCGTACGCGATATTTCTGGTGCAGTGGGGATAGCGCGTTCCGGGAAATCTTTTACCCTATTCGCCGTGCTGAACCAGCAGTGCTGTTAATGGAAGAAAAAGGCCAACTAGAAGTTGCATAGATATTCGTAAGTGATATTAATTAATTTTAGTCTTTCTTTAAGAAAAAATCACAAGGAAGGTAAATACAAATACAAATACGTGAGAATTACTATTTAAAAATAAAACACAAATGCAGAAATTGAATAAAAAAATTTATACGGAATTTATACGAAAAAATTCTTAAAAATTTATGCGGGACTATAAATCGATTAGCAGCTGAGCAAATTCTGTTTTTCTGGTTATCACGTTATCATGCGAATTATATTTTAGATTTGCAGATGCAGAATCGGCGGGTAATGTCCATCTCAAAGGGGCCTTCTCTCCCCTAAAACCAGCAATTTGAGTAAATTTCGCTTTCAGGCTAAAAATTAAAGGGCCTAGCACCGAAGATTTGTCTCGTGGTATTAAAATAGGAACTTTGCATGAATATTCAGCGAAGATTTTTTTTTTGTAATAAATGCGAGAAAAAAGTGATCCACCTGTAGTATTTTATTATTTTATTTTATCTTTTATCATTTATTTATTTTAGTTCAAAGAAAAATAAGAAGGAATGAAATTTCGAAAAGATATACAAGGGCTTCGAGTTCTTGCAATAATAAATTTGTTCTTATTTCATGCATATCATATTAAATTCCCGAATGGATGCATTGGAACTGATATATTTTTCGTTATCTCGGGTTATCTTGCAAGAGTAAAATTAGATCGTCCATTTGGTATCCAAGGTCTTAAAGATTACGCTGTTAGAAGGATCAAACGTCTTCTTCCCTTATATTATTCTACGATATTTATAGTGATAATTTATGTACGACTATGTTCTGCAAGTGAATCAGTCGATCATCTGTCGAAGAAAGCATTTAAAGCTTTTACATTTGTAATGGATGGTGCTATTCAAAGCCGTTATTTTCCTGAGGTTTTTTTCGACTAAATTTGCCTGCAATGTGCACAGGCTTTGGCCCTGGCTCTATCTGGGGCAAAACTGCCAATAAAAAACCTGAGCTAACCCACTTCATTCTTTGTTGAAAGGCTCATCCTAATAGCCAGTGGAGTTAACCTAATCAAAAATGATGAAAGATGCCTATTGACTAATATGGGCAAAAAAATAAAATAATTTTTTCCGTTTTCGACAATTAACAACTTCGTAAAATATTTTATAATGTTTGTTGAATGAAGATAATGAAGATATATCATTATTAGGTTATAATGATAACTACTCTTGTCTACATTTAGGCTGTTAAAAGCGATTCGTGCATGTGGTCATTGCCTGTCACCTTGCAATTTCACACTGTTGCACCGACTTTGGTTAATATAAGACAAAAGATAGGTTTTTCGGTATTTATTTTTTTAACTTCATGTTCCTTGCTACTATACATTTCTGAAAAAGAATTATTGTTGTATCCAAAATTATTTAAATATTTATGGCAATTTTTAATCGGTTTCTTCGCATATGAATATGAAAAGAGTCGTTCTGATAATAACAATGAAGGTAAAAAATTTTTTAAAATTTTACAGACGAGTTCAAATTCAAATTCAAATTTTCTTTCGGTTACTTCCATTTTTGAAACTTTATTATTTGAAATCTGCATTAGATTTTTAATTATTTATGTAAGCAACCGTTTTAGTTTTAGGTTAGTTTCAGCGAAAAAATATTTATTTGGAATTATGATGAAAACTATTATTTTTGAATGAATGGATTTTGATGTTATATAAAATTTTTATATCAAACATGCTCGAAGACGCACTGTGTCTTCTCAAATAAATATATTCCGCTTTTGCAGATTTTATAACGGGTTTGACAGGTGTGTCGCTGTGGGCAATTTCACCACTATCATTCTTTATCAGCATCGATAAACGCTTTCATAAGATAATCGCTACAGTAGCTACAGCTTGGATATTAGCAAATAAACTAAACTGGTCGATATTTTATCATCGATCAGTTGTATTCGTTGCTGATCGATCGTATTCAATTTATTTAACTTATTTGACTTATGTGTTATTTACCAAAGCTACGAAAGAAAGTAATATATCAGTTAATTTCCAAGGTAAGCTATAATTTAATATAAATTTCATCAAAAATTCCTTTTTTTCTAGGAAAAATTTAAAAAATCACTTTTTTTCCTAAATTTTAAATTATTTTTTTTAGATTTACTCGATACTTTGCTATATATATTATTTTTCACAAGCCTGGTTCATCAATATATTGAAAAATATTTTTTGCATTCTTCCAATAAAATTTGCTTTATATTTATTATATTTATCGTCAATTTAACATTTTTAATAATTTTATCACCGATTTCGAGTTCATCTGCGATCAAAAATTTTACCAACATAGACGCAGGTTTAAAGTTCGAAAAATTGAGGCTATAATTATTTCTTTTTAAACGGAAAATTGAAAATTTTTATAAAATATTAAGTTCGGGAAAAAATTTCTTGGCGATTTGCTAATTTAAACGATTAATTATTACATTACTCTCCTACAATATAATTTTAGATCAATCTACAACAGCGTCAGATTCTATAAGTATGAACCATCTGTTATTCGATGAAAAATCATTGTCTAGGATCATTAAATTGAATCAACTTAATAAAGCTGGAAATTATCCGTCCCTTCCTGGACTGAAGATGATCGATGATTTGCCGCTAATTTCAAAGCTTAAAAAAATTGGTGTAACCGCTCTTAATTGCTCTTATTATGAGTTAAGTTTTTGCATAATTGCTCTTATTATGAGTTAAGTTTTTTCTTTTTCTTCATCCCGCAAGTTTATGGCTCAATCATGCAAAATTTGTTTTAGGGTTCTGGAAATACTAGTGTGGTTATACTTGGAAATAGCTTTGCTATATCGGCGCTCTATTATGTAGTCCCAGCCTTCGGTATATCGAAGATTCGCCATATTAAACTGCTTTCTGCTCCGGGTTGTTTGCCGATCTATAATATCAGAGCGCAATTTAATCGTTGGCCAAAATGTCCTGAATTTTTTAAAGAAACAATGAATGTAATTAAAAAATTCAGTCCCGATGTTATTTTCCTAAATTTCAAGTGAGTATCTAGGCTACGAAGCATGGATTTACATGGAGTGGTATGAAATTACATGGAGTGGTATGATATAAATTTAATGACACTCTTCGAGTGGAATTTGCTGGTTAATGAAGAGGTTCAGTAACAGATTATCGAAATGTTTTTTTTTGATGAATGAGAAGCGAATTTAAAAATTTATTTGAAGAAAACGAGAAGTGCTTGGAATAAGAATCTGAAAAATGTAGAAAAGCTTGAAGAGTTGGATATGAATCAAATCTTTCAGTATACAGCAATTCGTTGATTTTATTCAAAACTGTTTTAGATTTGGATGGCCTTTCAGTGCGCCAATTGGAAATATTTCGGAGGACATTGTATTTTACAAATTGCAAGAGTCCATTAATTTATTTATGAATTCCACTCGGAGAATTATATTTGCATATGCGCATCCTTACGCAGAGTTCATGTATTCTTTAACCGTAAATTTATTTCGCCTAGTTTCCACTTTTGAAATAAGCTTATTATTGCATTGCATTCAATAAGCCTAGGAGGGCACAAGAAATCCATAGGACTTGACCTCGTTGTCATTCACGTCATAGATATATCTCCTCGTTTAAAAATGTATTCTTTTCTTTTATTTGGAGATTTTTTTATCTAAATTTTATGCCTGAAAAAACTCTAATCTCCATCGTCGAAATATTTTAGAGTGAGGATCTTACAAAAGACAAAAACGTTTTACAAAATAATTCAATTGCAATTGCAATTGCTTAGATTTCGAATTTTTCGAATTTATATCGAATTTTTTATTACATTTATTCACTGCTTTCTATTTTAATTTAACCTGTTTTCAATCTACCTTATTATGTTTAGACTTTTGCAGAGTTCCAAGCCCGGACAATATTTCAAAAAGGCTTCTCAAAGGTTTACTACCCACCGATCTAAATATTCCGTATGAAACTTTTTTTAATACTTATGAGCATGCATTTCGACGAATCAATGCACTGAGATGCAAAAAGTGTGAATATATATTAACTTATCGCTGGTTTTGCGATAGCAAGGTTTGAACTGAAAATTGAATTTCAAACGGAATTAGCAGTTTTCATTAATTCATATTTGTTTGCATGGAAATAATTGACACGATGTAGTGCCAATGGTAAGGAACAATAATATCGACGGCAAAATTTTATCCTTTTATCGAAGCCGAAAGTTTCATTGTAGAATGCGAAGAAAGAAAGAGTTTTATCACGAATTTATTAAGAATTATTAAAAAACAAGGAATTGAGAACCGATCAAAGTGAAAATGAAAAGTGTAAAAAAGATTTTTTTATTTACCTTCATAAAATTCAGCACTTTTTTGCACTTGCGGAATTGCACTAGAGATAAATATCTTCTACACTGGTAAGCATTCGCTGAAGATGGCATATTTGTTGCAGATGTTGCCAAATACAGTCCCCTTTTCAGTCCCCTTGTTTATATTAGCTACTAAACAGCTATTATTTCGATTTTGCCAACTTAATAGATTATTCTTATTTTCTTTTTCAATAAGTGAATCATTCACGTATTTTATCAGGGAGTCTACAATTGTTGTCATCTATTTTGTCAAAGATTGAATAAAAAAAAATCCTGTACTACTGTTATTTTTCAAAGTATTTCAAAGTCTGAAGGGTATTTTCAAAAAGCGTATTTTTTAATTTCCACTGGTCTGCCACCGGACAGATGCTAAACGAAACACTCATTAATTATGAATTAATTGGAGCAGGAAAAATGATCTTTTAATCGTGGATTTAAACATAGCTGTGCTTCGATTTTCAAAATTCCACAACCCATCGCAAAGAAGTTGAAAGGCTTTAGAAAAACGATGGATTAATAGTTTCAGCCTGCCTTTTATGTAACTCTTGTGCATAATTTTTTTTTCCTACTATTAACTGCATAGCCCAATAAACTTTTATATATTTGTATTACATATCTCATTAAATTAAAGTAATTGCATTCCGTATTCTGCAACATCGCTTTCGATACCTTTTTTTTGGCCGAAGTAGAAGAGTTCTTCAGTACTACTAGGCCAGGTGGTGTTGGTGACTTATTTGTACTTCTACCGCCAAGAGATTCCCTGGTATATTTGTCTAGCATGACAGTGAAACAAGTCTAACAGTAATCGTGAGGACTCATTTTAAAAAAAAAAAAACTACTAGGTTTATTTACAAATAAGTATCCAGTAAAATTTAGCAATGAAAGTAAGTTTTTCGTATATATTTTAGTCTTCTATGCTTATAATTTTTTGAAACCAGTTATTCAAATAATTTTCAGATATGTCACACCTATGATCCACAAACTCTTGTGGGATATTATAAAGACAGAGAACATCTCGGAGTGCATGGAATTAAATTTATGCAGCCTTATTATAAAAAAATTGTAGATGAATTATATGCAAAGGGATTTATTTGAACTTAAATAAATATCCAGATTTTCTCGTTTAAAATGTCAAATTTGATGTTCAATTTATTGCGCCTTTCATTTATATGAATTCGAAGATAAATAATTCTTTTGGAATTTTCGACAAAATATTTATAAATGGAGGTGTTAAGATTACTGAAAGATCCTTTTTGGAGAAATTTTTCAAAGAGAAAGGGTTGGTTGGGTAATTTAGCGGAAGCACCATTTAATATCTAACCAGAAACTATCAATAATTTACTTATTTTTTTTGTCACCGTACTCCATATAACTGGCATTTTAAATTAATTTTTGATTCCTAAATCATACTACATAGTCTCTTTTCCTTCTTCTCTAAGGCATTCCTTTTTCTTCATCTATTATCCCTGTGAACTTGTGCGGCCGACTCTTATGGCCATTTTATAAGCCTATTTTTGATTTCTTCGCAAGTATTATCAGTTGAAGTGTCATTTATTTGCTTTGATTACTTTTATGTGTTTCGTGTGTTTCAGATATTCCATTTTGCTTGTCTCCATAGCGTTTAGAGTTTTCCATACACCTAAATAAGGTTCGTTATCGACTGAAAATCCTTTAACTTTTGCTTGGTTCTAAGTATGTCATTAAATAATTAAGTCCGACTGGTTCTAATTTTCTATTTCTTTTTCCAACAATGCCTAAAAGCAGTGACCAAGTTTTGACCCATCAAAATTGGTCAGTTATGGCACAAGCAATTCAAGAATAAAAGAATTCAAGAATAAAATTAGGAATAGGTTTTTTTAGTAATATAAAAAATAGAGGATTTAAAGTTTGCACCCATTTATCCCAATAAACAATATTATTTTTTGTCCCGATTTTATCTTTTGCTGTACTTAATATCTTTTAATGTCCGAACTTAAGATTATTTCGAAATATGACAAATTTGCTATTTTATTTTGAGAATTTGATCTGCGTATACTTTTTGAAAAGCGGTCATTCAGCAATATTTGAATCTTTCAGTTCCTTTAATAGGTACATGAATCCTACATGGATCAGATTTCGCTATGGTGATTCCCATATACTCTTGAATAATAGAAAGTGAAAATCGATCATAAAGCTATGCATAGAAAACCGATGTTTTCCACATAGTAATAAAATATTTCAATATTGCTTAATGAAATAATTATTAAAACTATAATTCTTCCAAGATGCAAGTTGTAATTGTAAAAAGAAACTTGATAGATTTGACTGGAATCGCTAACTTGAAAAGAGCTATTTTGAAGAGTTTAGTAAGTCGTTGATATTATTGGGGATTGAAATGTTGAAGCATTGAAAACTGGTCGTAAAAGTTAACTTTGACGGAATTTTAATTTTTAACTTATCCGATGAACTTGCTGCGATGATTGTTGAAGCTCGGATTGCATATCAAAGTATGCCATTTTTTGATACAGTAGGACGACATAAAGACGCAGGCAAAATCTTCAATAATTTTGTCGCGTCTGTAAATTGTCCACAAGCTCGTTGCCATGCGTGACCTTCAAATGTATTTTGTGTGTCCCATTAAAAAGATTTAACTTAAACTTCGTAAAATCCAACCTTAAAATCCAATCAATACCCTTAAATATTTCTACCCTTAAATATTTCATTTAATTCTTCACTTGACCAAGAAAGGGTTCCCACTTATCAGCTTATCAGCTTACTTTAACCGGTCATCAAATCTCATATAATTTCCATTCCGTATCATCTCGGAATGACTACGACATAAAGAATGATATAATTATTTCTGTCTTTGACCTCCCTTTTTCGTTCCTTCGACATCTCCGCAAAGTTATTTCCATTTCCATTTTTTAATGCGTTAAATATTTATTTTTTTCTTCTAATTTTAATTATTTTTTAATTATGTTTTAGGGAACAATTTATAAAAAATTTAGATATTATTTAAACTATCTTTTCTTTAAATAAAGACTCCAATAAAATTTAAAAATAATTTTATATTGTTTATATTTGAATATTTATGATTTATAATAAGGAATTAAAAAAAGGCTATTGAAGTTTTTTTCAAATTCTTTATTAATAAGTTAAATCCCAAGAGAGAGTCAAATTATTTATAAACGAGAATGGATTTGAAAAATAAGAAGAAAAATTATCGAAAAATTCTGATCTCATTAGTAAATTTTTAAGGAAATCAAGGGTTCGAATTCGGCTGATGCAGCAAAGTAAGTACGTTGTACAGCAATGCCCCCTAATGGGAAAAATAAGAGAGAGTAGAACTGCTCACTCTCAACTTGAAACACCGATTCAGAGGTTCCACTCCTAGCAAACTAAAAATTGGGGTGATGCTGACGAATCACCTATATTTCTATCGACAAGAGATTTCCTGACATATTTGTCTAATCCAACAAGCCAGCGGAGCGAGTCTAATCAGCAGTGGTGAATGATCTAAGAAAAAAAAAAAAAATTCGCTGGCAATTGAAATGAAAATAATTAAATAAAAATTGTAGAAATTGAAACAAATAGTTTAATCATTTTTTTTTACAAAATTCTGCATTTTAGCATTTTACACTATTTCTATTTAATAAAAAGCATATTAAACGTTTTATAAATATTTCTTTTGCATACAATTTTCATTTTCATGGTGATTTCGCCATGGCTCCATAAAGATTTCGTCAACCGAAAGCGTTCTTCGCATTTAACGCATTTTTAGCTAGTGTTATCCGGTTTGTAATTTCGTCTCTTATTTGGCTATTTGGGATTTGAGTCCAAGGTATTTAAAATTGGACACTTCCTCAACCAGTGACAAACTGATTAAAGAAAGTATTTTATCTTCATCTTCTAAAATTTATCACTGGTTAGGCTGGCTCCAACGGCTACAAGATTGAGGCATCTTCAAGCTGCTGC